TCTCTCAATTCTCACTCTAACCCCATCTCCTACCATTCATCGTCTTCATCTTCCTCACCTTCATCGTAAGTTCGCAATAGTTCTTGACTTCCGAGCAAACTACATTGCTTAACCTCAAGCAACAATGGGGAAATCCACAGTCTCTAGCAGATTGGAACTCCACCTCGTCACCTTGTAGCTGGCCGGAGGTTTAGTGTTGGAATGGCTCCGCTCCAATTATACTATCTGGGCGCCGTCCTCTCCACCAATCCCCACAATACATCCATCAGTATCCCTTCAACTACAACGATCTTCAACGCCTATAAACTCACATTCATCGTCTTCATCCTATTCACTTTGTTCTCCATCGTAACACAATCTAACAACATCATTACATAAATTGGAATCCCATTCCCTTCCTTACCTCCAACATTACCACCTCGATGCTCTCTCACCTCCACATCCTCTATCGGAGCTTCCATTAAAGCTTAACATGTCACCGACAAATCTACTCTCATTCCGTGTAATACTTGTTTTCTAAAACAGGCATCAACCCAAGAGTTATAGATTGTTATGAGATAAATAAATAGAATAAAGCCTTGAGTTGCTTTATTTTGAGAAATGTTATTTAGTAAAATATAGTTAGAAAATGTTGTAGTTCATGTGATGAGGATTCTGTGGATATAAAGTTTGCTGAAAACGGAGTCCGTATGAGAATGTTATAGTTATTTGAAGTTGCGTTGAAAGTACATTGTTATTTTGAGAAAGTCAAGTCAACGGTTGGACTTTGACCACCACGACGTGGAATATGATTGTCACGGAATGGCAATTTTGCCCCTCATGATGTGAGACAATGTTTGTCACGATGTGAGATCAGGTGAGTCACTGTGACACGTGGCAGGAGAGTGTGACACGTGGCAGAACCGGGTCTAGACGTATCTCACGATGTGAGAGCATCATGCTCACGATGTGAGCCACCCTTGATTATAAAAATAAGTGTTTCATGCCATTTGGTGAGTTTGTATACATGTTGATCGAGATGTTTCCCAAGAGTAGTTTACGAGATGTTATACCGGAGGAGTCATACCGATATACGTGAGATACAGGTTGAGTTACGAGATTGTAGAGGTATCTTTCACCCTTCTATTATGTAATTATTATACATGATAGTTTTCAGGATTTGATAGGCCCGAGTATGTATTTGGAATATCCGTGATACGGTGCTATTATAGATTTTGTTTGTGAGATCTGTATGTAAATATCATAGTGATATAGTTAGTTGGGACTGTGAGGGTTAAGAACCCTAATTTTTTAAAGTTGCCCGATGTGATAGATTTAGTTAAACGGCTTACAAGTTAAGCCTATTGTAGTTATATCATTGTATTAATGAGTTTGGTGACAACTAGTCATGGAGTATAGTTAATAGTAAGTTATGCCAACTTTTGTGGAACTTGATAATTGTTGGTTAGGTATTGGCGTGTGATGAGCTGGAAGACAGTGTAAGTCGAGGACCAAAGTTGATGTATCTTCCAGTTGATCAGGTGATTAACACTACTCCAACATCCTTTTTTGTTGATACCTCTGTAACATGGTATGCGTGTTGTATTAAATGATATTATATTGGTAATTATTATGACGTTATATGGTACCTTAGGATGGCTCATGATTATCTACATGGGAGATTTGTATTTTTACCACATGAAGGTATAATTATTTATATATGTTATCTCGGATTGGAGATACTGGTATTTAATTGGTTTTGGTGGTATATTTATTCATAGGTATTGTCTCGGATTAGAGATAATAATATTTGACTAGTTTGGCCTTAGTATTTTACCAGGCAAGATTATTATGTAAATGTGATGTTGGATCTCTTAGGAGATATCGAGGATATCCGTTGGATGGATTATCTTAGATATTTATTTGCTACTTGATTATTTTGTTATATGTTATTGTAGCTATTATTCACTAAGTCATGAGGCTTATATTGTTTGTTTGTCGATGTTTTGCAGGTTAGAGATTGTAGCGCCCGACTCGATCCCGTGCTTGCGGCCAACGCGATCCTTGTGATAGATTCTTGTGCTCCAGTATGTCGGTGTATAAGAGATGGATGAGGCTTGTATTTTTTGCAAGAGTGAAGCTCTTCTTTCTTCCCTTTTTTCTCTCTAAATCCGAGAGCATGAAGAAGCTCTTTTCTTTTGAAGTTTGGTGCTTTGCTTTGGTGATTAGAAGACATCTTGAGTTGTTCCCTTTAGTGCTTAATTGAGTTAAGCACTTAAAGACTTTAGACACTCAAGAATACAAGAAGGAACTAACATTCCAAGTGTCTTACTCTTGATGGTGGATACTTGTAGAGAAGATCATACACTTTGATCTTTTGTTATCTTCATCAACACCCCAAAACCAAGTGGGTCCAAAGGCTTCAAAGGTTATCTCTAAAACATCCTATGATTTGTTTTATTTCATTCTAACCTATATAAATGTACCAATGATGGTTCAGTTTTATTATGAACTAAAAATAAACTCGTTATTTTTAAAGTCTTCCGTTGCCGGTTTTTGTGAAAAACAAACTTTTATTTCGTATCAAAACCCAACAGTGGTATCAGAGCCATCTTTTATATGTTAGAATGATTTTTTTATATATGTTTGATAATCTTTGGTTTTTGGAAAACAAGCATGGATTTCTTTTGGTTAAGAAAAATCCATATTTGTTTTCTTTGGCAACTTCTTGGTTAAAATTGTTTATTTTTATATATAACCATTTTTCATGCATTTTGGTTAGACAAAACTGCAAAATTGGTCCTTATGGATTGCCAAAAACTGTGGATATGGTCCAAAAAGTTTCTAACTTGTATGAAAGGTCCAAAATCAAGAATTTTCCGTAGTTTTAGTCCCTGGTAAACTTGAAATGACAATTTTGCCCTTTTAATTTTTTTTTGTTTTTTTAATACTTTGTTAATTTAAAAATAAATGAAAAATCATAAAGAGGCATTCTCTCTCTCTCTCTCTCTCTCTCAAATAAATCAAAACCTGCAGTCGATCGTCTCGATGTTCATATCCAATCACCAAATAAAATCAATGAACTCTTTAGGATTTTTCAAAACTTCATATTCAATCTACAAATTAACCGTGAACAAAATCAATAAAATTTGTGGGAATCTTCAACCCTGAACCTGTAACAAAATCATCTTCTTTAACCAAACCTAGGAAATTTTTTGAACTGCATCTTCACCCTCCAAATCGGCGGCAACTACCACATCTGATATCACACATGATCCTAAAGATTGTCATTCCTTTTCACTTCTAAAAATTTCTGATTAATGAAGTGTATTCAACATCTACATACAAATTTCGATCTATGAATAAACAAAACACTTATCAGATCATCCATGGACCACAAACCAATTTCCTCAACACTAAACAAATGACAGAGCTTTGACCCTATTTAGATCTGAAAAGTTTTTTCGGTTTTTGATTTCTTGAAATGGACTTTTCTGGTGATGATTATTGGTTCTTGAACATGGATGTCGTAGCTGATGGTGATAATTTTGGGTTTTAGAGAAAACGATTATGACAGTGGCCACCAGAGGAGACAATTCGGAGGGGTGGTGGCTGGAATTGCCTTTGATGGGTATATTGATGGGAAAAACGATTCGGAGACTTGACGATTGCCTCTAGTATTGCATTGTTGCTGGTAAAAAGGCTCTTAAAGATTCTCATCTTGGTGGCGATAAACGCACTAAGGTTCGAAAATCATAACCAATTCCCGATCTATTTTCACAGAAAAATCACTCAGTTTTTCATTCCTTATGCGATTACAACATGGGTTCAACGTTGCTTGCTACTGATATTGGATTTATGGGACCAAATTACTGGATTTTTCATGGATTTTTAAGGCTATGTAAAGAGGGATCTGAAGATTTACACGTTTGTGTTTGTAAGGAGGATGAGAACCAGGAAGATCTAAAATCGATTTTCAGGTATTATGGGTGTGGTGGCAGATTTTGATTTGAGAGAGAGAGAGAGAGAGAGAGAGAGAGATAGAGATGTGGGGTCAATTTTTATTTCTAATTAATTAAAATATTTTTAAGTATTTAAATAAATAAAAACAAAAGCAAAAAAGAAATAAAAATGGCAAAATAGTCTTTTCATTTTTAACAGGGACCTTATCCACAAAAAAGATCTGATTATGGACCAATGATGCAAGTTGAAATCTTTTTGGATTCTACCCACATTTTTTTGATAACCACAAGGACCAAATTTGCAGTTTAGTCTTTTGGTTATATAAAAGTTGTCTTAGAAAAAAAAAGTTGTTTGTTATAATATTTGGTATGTTGTTATGTATAAACAAGCCATTTGGACCTTTGTGTTGTGTTTGGTTGATATTTATTTATTCATAAGATGTAATAGATAAATAGGTAATTTTTCATTTGTTGATTTGTTGTAATAAATTAGTTAGACTAGTTGTATTTTTTTTAAATGTAACAAGATGAAGAAAAGACATTTTGAAGTGTCCCTTAAGTCCTTTAGGAAAGACTTAATAATTCTTGTGATGGCTCACAAAAATTATTAGTAGACATAGTTTGGTTTATACACATTATAATGCATGCTTGTGATGTTTATTTGATGTTAAATGTATATATGTTATGTTTTATGTATGAAAATAGTATTTACATGTCAATTAACATTTTTTCATAAGATAATATCACTTGGAGTTTGAGTAAAAAATATTTAAAAGATAACATATGATGTTTATAAATGAATATTTATAAAAACGTTTTACCGGTTACCGGTTAAAACTGTTGAAAATAGTTTTAATGTCACTACAAACAAACTTACATTTAGTGGGCACAAAGTTTTTAATGAGATAATATTTTTGTGTCACTATAAATTGTCTTTAGTGGCACATATTTTCTCTGTAACACTGTCTTTTACGTTTTAAAATTTTAATTTATGTAAAAGCAGGCGCCAATATTGCCCGCCTCTCCTTTTTTGGAATGATTTTCTTATTTGAAAAACCCCCTAACTCTCCATAATCACTTGCTCCCAAATAGAGCTCTTCTCCCTCGTTCTCCTGATCCCTAGTAAACACGGTGGTCGTTGCTAGGGCTTATGATTTCAGGCTATTCCTAATGGTTCATGTCTCCGGTCGATAGTATAAACCGAAAAATTCCGCTGGGACATTTGGCCACATCAATCCGGAAAACTATTGTCTGAGTTGTACTATCGCAAGGAGCTTATGGCTTTAGGTCTTTGCGATCTGCATAAGACTTTTTTTCTGCTTCCCGAACGTTCTACTTTTCCATTCACCTGGTCTTTCGTAGAAGATTCAGACCAGACTATTTGTCAATCAGGTAATTTTACTGAATCCAAAGGACTTGGTTTATTTTTTGGTATTTCCAAATCGTTAGGTACCGCTCTCTGTACATATTTTTGTTGAAATTTTGTATATAGATCTGGTTTGAATCTTTAGTAGTTGGTAATAGTCAGGTTACCACAGTAAACCATAGCTAAATTACTCATGCTTTGATTTGATTAGAGTTCCTTTTTGGAGTTTCTTTTTTATTTGCGTATGCTTCGAGATTTGGTGACTTCTTTTGTTTGATTAATTGATTCACCATAGTTTATTAGACCGATTAGTGTGTCCACGATTAGCAATTTATTTTTATCTTTTCAATTTTATTTGTATTGTAGTCCGCTTTCTACATAAACTACTAAAAAGTAGCAAGCCTAGTCTATTTGACTTTGTAATTTTGTATTCACGATTACTCTACTAGAAAAAATGACAAATAGCCCCAAATTTGATTTTGTATGAGAAAAAAAACATAAATGCCTTAGAAGACTAATTAAGACTGTTATATGGTAATTTGTATTCACATTTTTTTTTCCTGATTTTGTATGTGAAAAATATGATGACTTTGATATTCATCTTTATCCCTATATGATTGATTATTCAAATACGAGAGGTATTAATTATTTATTTGATTAATGAAGGTAAAGATAAAGAACACATTATTTGATTAATGAATTACATTTATTGTCTTATGTACATATGTTGGGGAAGACTAGGTCGTCAATTACACTCTTGTACACTCTTCGTGAAGGATTTTATGGAAAGCCAATGGTGTGGAAGGGCATAGTTGTAACTCCCATCAAACTAGTGAGCAATGGGGAGGCAAAAATAAAGAAATTGGTTGGTTAACTGCATAAATGATCCATCAAAGGTATTGATTTTTTTAGTCATTTATTAAATACATACATTCTACAAATATACTTTATATGTGTGATCCTTGTTGAATCCTATAAATGACAAAAAAAGTGTTACTTGTTTTGTTTGATCCTTATCTGCATGTGATTTGCTGATGCATCCAATCATCAATTTCATGATACTAAAATTCAAATTTACTTCGTTAGGTTGACTATTTTGTTACATTGTATGGGAGTGTCTTTTACGGATCACAACTATATTTTAAGGTTAGGTCTTTAATGTACAGCAATAATAGGATTTACGATGTCATTAAAAAACGTTTTTAAGATCACATTCCTATTTTAAGGTTAGGTTAAATGTTCTGCGAATATGATACTCCACCATCAAGATTTACCATGTCATTACTTATTCGTAGACTCATTATTCTGTTGTCAATTCCATTCATATGATAGTTTTTACTGATGATATTTTGTGCCATTTTGCTTTTTGCAGCCACAACAATAATAGGATTATACTTTACTGTAATTGTCAATTACTGATAACATTAATAGGATCATGTTCTTTTTACAAAATTTTAAGCACTAATAGGTTTAATATGTTATTGATAGAATGTTAAACATTACTATGTTTTTTATAACTCATAAGTCTTTGATTTACTCAATTATCCTTGGTACGTATATATGTTTCTTATTTGACACAACTCACAACTCTTTTGTTTTTGGTAAAATGTTGGTATTAATATGTTTAATGAAAACGAAACAGTTAATAGTTTTGTTGAAAGTAGAGATATATTACATAAATGGTCCCTGTGGCAAGAATATATTACAGAGATGGTCCTTGTGGCAAGTAATTGTTACAGAAATGGTCACTATCATATGAAAAACATGACAAAATAGTCCTTTTAAGAATCTGTTATAGAAATAGTCCCTTTGGTAGGTAATTAATTAATGATTCTTCTAGTATTACCCTGTGTGTTTGTGACAATATTATTATACATTTGTTTCAGGTTCTGATAGATTTTCTATGGTTCCTAATAGCTCTCCTCTAAGATTTTAAAGGTCCTCATTTGAAAGTCATCATAACAATGGTAAGTATTTTTACTTAGGATAACCAAGTGATCTATGATTCTTTATTTTTGGTGATTATTGGTGATATTCTTACATATTTTTATATGATTTATTATGGTTATATTGTAGGCAATTGTTCGTAAGTTGGATAAACAAGAGGAGCAATTATGCAAACTTCATCTCCATGTCAACTTTTTTGTTTCTTTGTGGACTAGTAATTAGTTTGATAGTTTAATATTTTAAGTAATTACTAGCATGGTGTTTATATTTATTAAGCTTTTTGGAAGATATTTTTGTTTTAAATATTAAGAATATTGTTGTAAACAAGTTAAGTTTTAATTTAAATTATGTTTTTGTGTTTTGCATTTATTATCTTAATTGTTTTTTTATTATTTTATATTCTATTTAAATTTATAAAAGAATTGAATTTATTTCTAAATATAAAAGTTTTATGGTAAAAAAAGTGTCGTTAAAAACATAAAAATTGTTTCTATTTTTAGTAGTTATATAGTGACATAAAAAAGTGTCACAAAAACTAAAAGTGCTATAGTGGCATAAAAGAAAAGTGTCACTAAAACCCAAAAAAGGTTGCAGCGACACAAGCAAAAAGTGCCACTAAAGGCCTTTAGTGGTAGCGCTTTTAGTGACATTTCTTTTTTGTGCCGCTGATTTCCGAAGGTGTCTTTAGTGACACTTTTTCTGTGCCACTAAACGTCGTTTTATTTGGAGTGTGTAAAACTTATAAATACTCAACTTTAAAATATTTGAAATAGTTTTAAAGATGTTTAAACATTATATAAACTCCATGTCTTTATAATAAATAAGGAGTTTTTATTAAAAAGACTAAAATCGGTTTATAGCGTTATAACGACAAATAATAAAACTAGTGATTATCTTTTGTGTCGAAATTTAATATATGATATTGGTGTTTTAAACATAACACAACATGTTGATATTATGTTTTATGCATGCTAAATGATATTTAAAACATAAGTATCATCACCCAAGTTTTGGTTTATCAAAATATGACTTTTATCATAAGATGCATAAAATTGAGTTTATTCTATAAATTCATGAAGTCATAAGTTTTTTGATTGTTAAAAGGAGATTTAAAATAGTGATTTTTAACTCATCCAAAACTCCAAGTCTTAAGTATAAAATATAGTTTTATTAAGACTATTATCGGTTCTTAAAACCGATCTACGACTAAACTTTAAAATACCGGATTTTAGTTTATAATTTGATCGCGGTTAATGACAAATTTTATTTGGCACCTTAAGAACCTCATAACAAGTGATATGAATTTTACAAAAGGGTACATGAATTGTTGGATGCTTGTAATATTCATGAGACCATGTTTTTATAAACTATAATTGTAAACCATATATAAATCCTTATTTACAAAACTTCAAATCTATGCCATCCATTTAAAATTCACTTGGGATTTTTGTGCAGTTCATATGGATTTTTGGGTCACCATATTCATTTGAGTTGTCAAAAATAGTCAATGTGTTTTCGTATTTGCTTGTGTGAAAAAGGTCACCTAACCATTTGTGGAATAGAACTCACATGTTTTTTAAATGGATGATTTGATCAATTTCTTATGTGATAAAGGTCGCCTAAGCATAAGAGTTTTGAGGCATAGATGGGATAAACATGTCAAGCTAAACAATAGTTGTTTAGGATCCCATAATCTAGGAGTTACATATCGTATGCAATTGGTAATCGCTACCTACCGAGTTTGATTAAGTTTATGGGATAAAGGCCGCCTAACAATTTACTTGTTTCGTTACTTGGATCCTAGACTTTAATAAATTAATGTTTTAAGAAACAATATAAGGTATTAATTTTTAAAGACTAAATATTGAAAATACTAAATGAAACTTTGTTAAATTCTGTTGATAACTGTTAATAGTTTTACGCCCTGCAAAACCTCTCTCTTGTTGAGCTTCAAGAGACAGTAACATTTTATGGTTATAATTTCTGTAACTGTTATAATATCTTAAGGTTCTACTTTTAAGATAAATAGAAATTATATATATATTGAAAGATCCCATACCTGAATAACCTCTGCAACTAATTAGTCTGATCATGATACTTTGATGGAAGTATCATTGTGATGATATTGATGTGTCTCACATCATACTGAAGAAATTAACCATGGCTTCCAGAAAGTCTTGGATAATCATGAAACATATCAGATGTCTCATCAAGTAAAGCATATATTCAATCAGAACACTAGAAATAGTTTCAATTCTGTTCAAGCATTGAATAAAAGGAAGTCTAAGAGATTGTGCACTCATATCGACTTATAGTTCAGTTAAGGGAAATACAACATAAACCCAGAAATCAAGAAAGGACCAAATGATTAGTGTTGTTTCTATTGTGGAATAAACTGGACACTAAAGGAGGAATTGCTCCTCTCATCTCATCAAGCTGAAGAAGTCTGACTTGGACAAGACTTCAGATGTCTATATGATAGAACTATTTATTTTTCCATCATTCACTTGAGTATGTAATACTTCATGTGACACTAATAATTGATATTATGTGTTGACGACTGGAAGAAATAATCAACTGATTACAAACGAATGGTATTCCGTGTTGAAGATATAACAAAGTGTTGTTATAGTCTTTTATTTAAAACAATAGATGTATTGTACCTATCCTTACAGAGACATGTAACAGTTGTAATTTATGAATAAATCCAAATTTACTTATCGTTTAATGGATGTTCACATTCATGTTCTGAAACGATGTATTCTGTGTTAAAGAATATTTTCTCATAATGTTATTTATGAAGTAAATCTATAATCTTTCATTGAATTAATAGTTCTGATCATAACACATATATAATCAAATGATATTTGATTGGAACTTATCTATGTCATAATCATCATGACAATATAAATAAAAAATACATATACCAACTTCAAAATGATGGAATTTTTGAAGGCAAATGAGCTTGATTCATTTGATATATGTGAATCTTATTTATATGGGAAGATGATTCACAAGTGTCTTTATTTATTAGTAGCTAAAGAACAAAAGGCTTGACAAAGAGTTATACATAAGTGATGTATGTAATCTTTTTCAATCCATGGATAGATTTGGTGATAGATACTTAATCAATTTCACTGACGCCTTTATTCGTCGTTGATGAAACCTTTGATTTTCTCAAATTATTTCATAGAGAAGATTGAAATACAACTTAATGAGATCATCATTAACCTTTCGTTGTGATAAAGAAAATGAGTTTTGTAAACCGAGTTCTCTTGGAAAATCTTAGGAGTTGTGGAATTGATTCACAACTCATTCCGACAAAGACACTCACTTGTCATTAGTATGTTTCTTGTGGCACAGGATCACCTGGTCACTTAAATCTATCTTTTGATATTTGAGGTAGCCTTCATATTCTCTAGTGGGATAGGGTCACCTAGCCACTAGCTGAATGTCGATAGTATAAGTTTTTAAAGAGGATAAAACATAGACCTTGCAGTCTATTGTATGATGTTATAAAAGAACTATTTACTTTATCTAATTTTTGGAAGTATGCTCACTGCAACAAATATATATTGAATATATATTTCCAACCAAACAAGTGGTAGATACTTATATTAGGCTAAGGATGAAATTGTTTATCCTTATCTAAAAGGTATAGAGTTATAGAGCTTATGTTAGACAATAAGTTTAACAACTCTACTATCTAGCATTTATGTAGAATATCCTAAATGATTGTTTAGGATGAAATTTCTACTAATCCCACTAATTGTCATTCCATAAGACAAGTAATTAGAAAGTGCTTTTTCTAAGTGGGATAAATTTGGAGATTTAAGAGCTAAAGAACCATAAACTAAATGCATCATAGTTTGGAACTAGCAAGTTTTCAACTGTTGTTTAATCTGTTCAATGGTTGACCAGAAACTAATAAAACACATAGAGATGCATTCATGTATGATTATCAAGTATGGGCTTGATTAATCTTCCTCGATATAGTTTGACTATAAAGAGCAAGTGAGTTTTCAAGGGAGAAAACATACATGAATGAAAATCTTTCCAAGATTTAAGCTAACGTCTCAAAGTAAGAATCTTCTTTCTTATAAGTTACTTACATAGTGTGGTTTAATTATGAATCAAGATGACTATTGTGTTTTTCTACAAAGCTAGTGGGAGCGCAGTAACATTCCTAATGTTATATGTAGTGGACATATTAATTCATGGAATAAGGATCTATATAGATAGATAATGGCGACTTAAAGGATTAAGTAAAATTGCATTAATTGTCAAGGATCTTAAAGAGCTTAAGATCAAGGATCTTGTCAAATACCACATGACATGATTTTGAGAAAAATCCTAGTGCAAAGGTTTTTGAACTAGATAACATGATTGTATTTCATATGCTGATGCAATTGGATTAATCATATGTGTCATGGTTATGCATAAAGGCCAAATAAGTCGTATGCTTAGAGCATGTCAAATGATACCAGTATAATCCAAGAATAAGTCATTGTGTGACTTATAGGAATAGTCCAAAGTACTTGTGAGAACTAGAGAAATATTCCTAGTCTACGGAGTATTTGAAAGAAAGCTATGTTTAAAGTTGTTACACATATGCTAAATTTTCAAATAGATTGAGATGACTCTCAGTCACAATCAGGCGTGTCCTTATTATGAATGAAGAGATACTTACATGAATAGTGGTTCCACGTAGATTTTAATTACTGTTACACATTAGAGTTAGAGTACCTCGTGGTTTGGAGAACCACGTACAAAGATGCTTAATGTATAGTTCATTATGACTATGAGTAATCTCATTACGCAAGTATTGGTATCTAAGTCATATTCAAGCATCTAGTTCATTCGCAATAGTTTTTCTTTATATATAAGTTATATATAAAACTGAAAATGATTGTATTCGCAAAGTTTATACAAATCAAGGTTGTCAAATCTACTTAACAAAGTTGCTTCATTAGCTAACGCATGAAAGTTAAGCTGGTGCTATAGGACCTTGTTGATACAAGTAGATATATTTGATTGAAATTTAGTATATGGATATTGGAACAATAAAGCAACAAATATTGTAATGAATGATATATTGGATACGAGTCTTTCATTAAATAATTGTTGTGTTCTATATTAACATGTTTAAATCCTTGAATAACAAGGTTATTCTAAATGTCCATAGTCATTCATAGTTGTGGGAGCATCTATGAGGTAGGACTAATATGAGTAGATTGGTGGATTCTCATGGAGATGAGAATGACAAAGAGCTGCTACCAACTTCATAGGTACTTGATTGTGAGAATAAGTATTGGACTTGACCCGCATCAAAATCACTTTATGGATCGTATTCAAGAGTGATGTT